GCCAAGTTTCACACCCATACAAAACAACAGGTACGCTGCTTACAGTTAATGACGCCACTGGAAACACGATTTCGAACTTCTTAAGTTCTGCATTAAGAAACATTATTTGAATTATACGAATATATTTAACTTGCAAGAGTATAAAACGAAGATTTTAAACAGGGTCGGCCTAACGTTATTGCGAATTACCCGCGCTCCGGCGTTACGCCAACGAAGATGAACAGGAGTAGCTCGGTCGTAATATCAGATAATAAGCGTGTCGTGTCTGAGAAAGGAGAGTAGAATAAAGAGGCATACAAGAAAGGAGACGGTTAAAATAAATAATGATGGCAGTGGGAGGACAAAGTGAGAAAAGAAATAAAGTGGCAGATAAAACAAATGTTTGTTATAAGTTTGGATGTTTGTGTGTAATCTGAATTCTCCGTCCAACTCAAGTGTATTTTAGTTATCTGGCGAACATGTATAGCCAGTGTTGGGTCATCCTTAAATCAAGCTTTTGGCGGCAAATAGTCTTTCCTCCTCTGCACGCTGGTTCACATAGAAACGTGGGCCCATATCATTGCGAGCCAACTGATAAATGAAGGTTTCTGTAATTTAATAGGTCAGAGAATTAATATCGGTTACAGAAGCGGCACTTGGCACTCGATTCCACTTACGGTGACGTATGTTAGTAGTGCAGTCTCTCCCGTGGGACAGTGCCAAATAAAATAGGATTTCTCGACCGGGAATCCCAGAGTTTTTTTTAGTTTGTAAGTTCTGTTTCTGTTTCCTCCTCCTTTTCTTTTTTCCTTCCCTTCTCTTCTTCTTAGCCTTCTTCCCCTTTTCTCGCCAAGATCACAGAATTTCGGTTTATCTAATGATGTATTTGCTCCCCCTTCCCCCAGCTCGCTGTCATTAGGTCTGAGTCCCTTAATCAAAAGGTAATGTAACCTTCATTTAAGATGGCTGTTGGTTGCCCCTTTGTGCTTGCTTTGTGATATCTGCATACGAAATTTCGTTTTATTGAAAAACTCTCGCATAGGCCTATTATAATTGTTGTAATCGGCTCCTAAATGAATTTAGAGTACATTCTTCATCTGTTGCCCACATTCAATTCCATTCCTGTCATCTAAAAATAATTATTAACAATAGGATGTATTAGAAAATGTGAAGTGTAACACTTCTCTTTTGTACAAAATGTTCCTCAACTGTTCTTGCTTTGTGCATGAATGCATTTCGTTCACATTTTAAACATTATAAGTTCCGTTTGATTTTAGAAATAGCGTTTATGCTGTTTAAACCTTCAAAGTCTCTTCTGTAGATCAAAATATTCTGCTGTGTTTCAATCACGAGATTTGAGACTCTGCAGTACGCCGAAATAAAGCAGAGGAACATGAAGTGCCTGTCTGTGAGAAATGTGTTTCTTATGCTCGCTTGAAGCATCTCACTTGCACGTACTGTATCTGGACCTCCGCACTTCACTCTGACCTTGTCCGTCAGTGATTTCAGCACTGACCTTCAATATCATCTTCAGAGCATGTCCACTTCAAACTCAAGTGGATTAGCGAATCCATCGAGCTTCTGAAAGATAGTACAGCTGTTCAACAGTGGCGTGTTTCATAAGTCATATCAGTTCCCGACTTAACATATGCAATATTGACAGAGCGACCAAAAACTAAAGTTTAGGAGGAGAAGACAGAGCAGAGAGCAGGATTTCTGTCTTTCATCTACTTCTTTTTCCTGTTTTTACGTGATTTCTATGCGGAAAGCACAAGCGACACGCGTTCCTTTTTCTGTGTAAACAAAAGAAGATCTGCCACGCACTTGAGGGCGTCGTGCACTCAAACTTGCGCACCTGCCTTTTCTTCTGTTCTGTCTTTGTTTTCCATACATCTCTCGCCATCCTTCTTACATTCATTTGACATTTCTTCAACTTTCTACATTTCGTTCCTTGTTTTCCTGTCTGTTTCTTTTTACTTACTGTACTTTACTTTGTTTCTTCCCACTTTCTGTAACTCATCTTCTATACCTTTCTCTGATACTCTGTCTTTCCCTCCTTTCGTTGCTTCTTTCCCAAATTATTTATTCGTTTGTTTTGTTTCTTTGTTGATTTGTTCTGTGGTTTGTTTTTGTTCACTTGTGTATCTCCCATCAGCTCGTATGAAACGGAAAAGTCGCTAGAAGAAGAACAGAAGACAATTTCTTGTGTCTTAATCGTATTTTCTTTTTCGCACTATCGCTGTAGTTCCATTACGTGAGTTAACTACTCGACTCAAATATTTGATTGAAGAATGCGTGTATAAGGCCAGGCTTGAGGACAAACTGTGAATGTTATGAACCTGCATTGACGTTCATTCAGAGACTCGTTAACTTGGTAAAGAGTCATCAGTGTGAGCGGCGTGCCTACTTCATACTCGGAAGGTCTCAAGTTCAGGTCTCGGCCCGGAGACCGTCTGTGTTGAATGATGTTTCCCATGGTTTTCCTCAGTCTCTCCATGCAAATTATTAAATGGGCAGAAAATCTATCGGTCCCCATGTCTCTGTGTATGACGTAGGCCTCTTTATAATATTCTAATCCAGAAGCGTGTCCGCTCGTGTATGAAGGTGTGTAAGGTTGTGTGTTCGTGTGAATGTAAATGTTTGTAGGCCTGTGTTTATGGCAGGGAGCCTAAGAATGTAAGAATGTTACGTATGGAATGTAATGCATGCTTGCATGTATATATGTTCCGTGCGGAATGTAATGTGTGTGTGTGTGTGTGTGTGTGTAAACGTGGGTATAACAAAACCAATCATGTACCCATCTCTCTTGCACACCCAGTTTCCCACCTCGCTCCAAGTCCGCAGTAACGAAGTTCAGAAAAATAAATTTATTAGCCGTAAAATGGATGTTATAGGACAATCTGAAACATACTAGTTCTTGTATTAAGCGTTATTGGTCAAGGCCAACACAAAAGCTGGAGGACCACCCATTGTCGGATGTCGTGAGTGCTTTATTCACCGCGGCCACGAATAGAAGAAATTGCTCCTCATCAGCGGCCCTGCGTTCAGTGTTCGATGTGGCTGCCAGGATTATGCGGCATACCCCTCATTTGAACGCAGTTTCATCGCATATTCATGTTACGAGCCAAGCTTCATCGACGCTCATTACCACATCACGCATTCTGTCTCCCCACGGCCGCGGAACTCACGCTTCTTGATTTTTGTTTCTGCGTGTACATCAAGGACAAAGTTTGTGGTCCTTATCTGAATCCTTACAAGAGCTGCGAGACAATTCGTGAAGCGACGTCAATGATTACGCAGAGTCAGAGACGAGACTGCATTCACATGAAGCATCAACCACATCGAGCATCTGTGAGCAAGAATGTTGGGTCACTGTTTTGAACCAATTAATTTTCCATCATTGTTTATATTCGTGGCTTCCCTTCACGTATGGAGGTCGTCTCGTCCATCCTGCGCTCCACGTCATGGTGACTACGCCTCCACTTAATTTACGAGCTCGTATAGGGTACCTGGGTGACTATCAGCGTCTCTGGTACGTAGAGGTAGGCCTCGTTAAATATTTTTATCTCGGTTACACTCATTCGTCTTCATTTAAAGTAGATTTGATGCTATAAACACGTTGTGACTGGAACAAAGGTAGATTTGGATGTAAATAGCAAAAGTCTGTCGGATTAGTACGGATGTCACGGTCGGATTTTAATCACAGACGCTTCAGACAAAAGAGTCATCTATCAAGTTGAGACTTGCTTGCACATTACAGCATTTCTCAGTGCCAACTTCTTAAAAAGCATGACGTACTTCTCAACACCTGTTACGGTAAACACACCCTTGGCTAATTTTAATGTACAAATCCATCATTTCTCGTGAGTTACAGGGCTTGCGCGTTAAATCAGCAATTTTTGTCGTGACGTTGTGTGAAATACTCGACAAGCGTAGTGAGTTAGTGCGAACGTGACTGTCTCGTGTTCAGAGCCTGAAAATGAGTTGTGATGTAGGTCCAGTGACAGTATTTTTCAGTGATTTTATCAATCGTCGCGACAAAAGATTTGGCAGCACTTTCGGAGAGACTCCATTGTTTTCTTGACACAGATTTAAGGACGTTACTACATAGAGTCGAAACAGGTGCTTAATTTACTTTACGTTTCGGTTTCGGATACTAAAAACAAAGGGGACGAACAAGAAGGTTTGCCGGGGAAAACGAGAAATATAGTAGGAAGACTATTTTGAGGGTGAAATGGAGATGGAGGCGGCTCTAGATCTCCCCAGTGGCGGGTGTTATCAGTGTTGAGCCTTCTGAATCTACCATTAGAGAATGATGTACAGTCGAATATCATTACTTACTACCGTGAAGAGGTTTGTCACACTAATAGATGTACGCATGTTGTCCAGGTATTTTGCTGTGTTCACAGACTTTTTGAAACAGCGATTTTGGTTGATAAGTCTACAATCTTTCTGGTGCTTCGTGCTCCTGTGGTACAGTCTGTGATCGTGACAAAGCGAAAATGATAATATCGTGAGTTTAATAATTGTAACTGAACGTGCACAGGGTGGATTACCTCTTAACTGCCACAAGAAAATGGCGGTGTGATTGTCATATTTTAAACTGTGTGACTAACCGGAGCGATTCTCACAAATTTATAGGCTCTTAGCTCTCACACTTAAATTAATTTACATTGAAATATTACAAGTGCTCTGAGACGAGTAAACAGGGTTGTGAAAATACACTGCTTTCAATTTATGCTGGTTTCAAAGACCTGTTCTAGTCTGTGAAGGCTGTTGAATGATATTAAATGAGAAAATAAATTCTTACGAGTGACGTTGTATTTTAAAAATGGTCTGTGCTGTACTTTCCAGTTATTTTTGTCGTGCTTTAATGTACGATGTACTATAAATAGTCTACGCTTCATTTGTTGTATGAGTAGAATTGCTGCTTCGGTTTGTACGAAAGAGAAAAAGTAAATATCTTTCCACTTAGTGCGGTAATATGAATCGCAGACTCCACCCTCTGCAGCATCAGGACCATGTCTGAAGAGATCTCCGGTATCAAATCCAGCCAAGAACTTGAGAGAGGCTGGCTATATTGCGCTTGGGAATCACTATCTTGTCTCTCAAATTTTATTTTTAGACCTCTCACTGTTCCGTCCAGTTCGCAAAAAGAAAAGACGAAACATTAACTAACTACAATGCCTATATCAGAGTCTTCCTTGAAAAGCTAATAGTAGTTCAGCTAGTCAAGATTCTCCATCCCGAAGCAGATGATTGCAGTACACACTATCATATTATATTTCTGTAAGTTTCATTTCAACATTGTCCGTCCACCTACGAGTCAGTTTTCCAAGTTACCTCTTCTCTTCAAGTTTTCGGAACAAAATTGTGTACATATTCTCATGTCCCCTGTGCCTGCTGTATGTCCAGCCCATGTAATTGTTTTTTTAATTCGATGTCAGTAATAATATTTAGTGAATGATACGAAATTCCATTTTCCTGTAATTTTATCTGTCGTGGCGAATCACCCTGATGATGGAGGCAGCAAGGACCTCTGAAACGTCGGTAAACTTCTACCAGACTATACGGCGCAACAGTCAAGAAGACAAGCCATCCTCAAGTAAAATAGTTGTTTGCCTCATGTGTCTCTGTGTCAGCGAAAGCACGGGAGTTCTTACAGTCCTGTCGGACACTGGTTTGAAGTGTTGTAGATTGTGGTCCCCTGGCTTACGATGTGGTGTAATCTTGTTAGGTGGTTTTCAACATTTCCGAGGAACCTGCTGTGGGGGAATCTATGTAGCAGATGCACCCAGCAGAGTTTCCCAGGCAGAAATATGTACACTTATAGGGTAATGAATCAAAGAGAAAATAATTTGCTATAATTTTCCTCAGCCTTTTTGCAATAGGTTCTCTATGTAGTGAATGAATATAAGCATGTAGCCTATAAAAATGTCATTAAGCATTGCCGGATGTGGAATGGCTCTTCCACTGCACAGCGATACATTCGTGGCCTTTTTAAACGTACTTGGCTACATTTTAACCAAGTTTGATCTGCATGGTTATGTTACTCTTTTATTGTTGCAGGAACGGGCACTTTTGGACGTGTGTGTCTTTGCCGCGAGAAATCTACAAAGAAGTATGGAGCGATGAAGATCCTGGCCATAAGCGATGTTATTAGACTGAAACAAGTAGAGCATGTAAAGAACGAGAAGAATATTTTGCAAGAAATACGTCATCCCTTCATTGTTAATCTGTGAGTATACTGGCAGCATCTGTCAGAGCAACGTAAAGAAGTCGGCATACATTTCGAGACTAAAATATCGATTAGTCTCTCAGGTGAAGAATACAGAAACTACACAGGACTAGTGAGTGCTTCGAGGTAAATGAGTATCCATGTGGCAGGGTGCGGCCTGACTGCTCCTCCTTGTAGAGGTGAAAGTGTTATTTGTAGCTGCGCGCACATTTTATGCTCGTGATACAGTCGGGCTTCCGAAACAAATCTTTTTTCTCGTGGATTTTTGTGGGTGCCCTCTACCAGAAATAATTTCAGATAACATCTTACAAACTTGGCATCCGGTATCTTTAAACCGTTTTACAAACGCCAAAAATAACGTGATATATTTTACAGAGTCCTTAAATAAGTCATTCATGGATTACTGGCATTTATACATTAAAGTGAATATGTATTAATAATGTTACGATAGTCAAGGCAGATATAAATAGACCGGGCTTCATTCGGGCTGGAATAAAAGGAAGTCGGGCTTCGGTCGAGTGCGGGTAACATATTTGAAGGTAAACTTCGGGCTCCGGCTGGGTCGGGTAAAATTATAAAATTTCAGTCTTAGCCTCCGGCTGCAGTGTGATTTTGGCGGCTTTGTTCAGATCTGGTTTGTGGGCTTCTTCGTTGTCACTATGGACGCTGGCAAACGTCTCTGTAGCTGCACGAGCTGTAGACCGACTATAGTCTGAACTCGCCTCAGACACAACTCACAAACGCATCGTTCTGGTAGGGGTATAGTACAGTGGGAAAAATTAGTTACTTGCGGGTCTACAAAACACCAGCAGCACGTCCACAGACAGCAAAGTACACCCACGATGGTTATTTCCACAGTGCCAGAAGCTCTATTTTTTGTTGCCATAATTTAATTGGCCTAATTAGTGTGAACCTTGAACAAAAATTTTACTTTTAAACGCTTGTGAAGGCCTTTGTCTCAAGCAGGTGTACATTATGATATTTATATTTGGTGGGGGGGAACCATTACACCATTAATTTTGTGTTCGCTTATGTGCACTGTACTTTTCTACACTAAAAATAAAATTGACGTTACAATTTTTTTACTATTTTGTCCACGCACTGGATGATATATATCCTTCAACACGAAAGTAAAGAAAGTCATTTCATTCTCAGTTAAGAATTGAATGCAGTAATGTTGACGTCAATTGAGATAGAACGATGTTTCCATTTCACATATGTAATACATTTCCACATTTAACAACGTTGGAAATGCGTACTCTTGAAGTGCACAGACATTTCCAAGATGTTCTTCACGCCATATCACGTAGGTCATTGTTGCATTAATGTGATTCGAGGTCATTTTTACTAAAAAATGTGTTGCAACAGACGGATCTCAGTTCTTGTTGTTTCACATCAATGACCCCTGACCATGCAGGTTGCCTGTCTTCTCGGAAAGCTGCGACAGACAGACATACATACATGGACAGGCCCTCAAGGTGTTCTTTGCTGACACTAGAGTATGAATAATTCAATTATAAAATATTATGGTTAGATTTCTGATTTATTTTCCTGTTATTGTTGCTAAGTATAACATTTTATTATAACGGTATTGTTAATGTTTTTTTTCAAGGCGGTGGCACTACAGAGACTCTACGTACTTGTACATGCTCTTTGACTACGTGTGTGGTGGTGAGCTGTTTTCATACTTACGGAATGCCGGGAGGTTCGGTACTAGCACTGGTAAGAAAACAGCATTTTTAGATACACCGAGCGTATGTGTTTATTGTTTGGTGAATACAGTTGGTACCATCCTCTTCATTACGACAAACCCTACCCATATGCACAAAATTCTCAAATTATAAATATATTTTATTACCTGTGATCTTTTATTTTCATTTTATAGCAAATTTCTACACAGCAGAAATAGTACTTGCCCTAGAGTACTTGCACGCGCAGTCTGTTGTCTACAGGGACCTGAAACCAGAAAATCTTTTACTTGATAGGGATGGCCACTTGAAGATCACGGATTTTGGTTTTGCCAAGAAACTCACAGACAGGTAAATAAATGTTCAAGTGACCACCAGCAGATTGTATATTTATTATATGTAGGTTTTGTAACTGGCCAAAAGCAGGTGTAATATGAATGTTTAGGGCGTAGAATGCGGTGGATATCACCTTCGTTAATACCAAATATTTTTACAGAATCCGCTTTTCAACATTTCATTACTCGTGGGCAAATTAATTGTGTGTAAAGAGCAATTATAATAAATGATCAAAAAAAGCAGCAACTAACTAATAAATTATTAATGACTGGTTGAGAAAATAATTACGTAACAACATGCATTCATAAGGTTCAGTTCATTTTACTTCTTTTAGAAGAAAAAACGTTTTCTAGTTTCATCAGGGTTTCTCACGTCTCATATCTTTGCTACTCAAAATTAAATTCTATTTTTCTTGTGATTATTAATTTTCTGTTCTCATTTACAAATAATGAGGAGTTTTCTGCAATTATTACATGTTATTTAGTGCTTGAAATCAAGACCTGGAGGAAGTTACATTAGTCTTTCCATTTAATCCAGTCCATGCAATTCTTCAAACTTTAAGAGAGGTCATCCGTTTTCTGAACTGTCCGTATCTCCAATGCCATTCACTGGAGCTCACCCCACAAGATTAAAAACGTAGGATCTGAGGATTTCACAGCGGTCAGTCTGAAGATCGCTGTCTTCTGGGTTGTTGCGCCGTGGACGGAGGCAGTATGACCTCTGAAACGTTGGCGAAAATCTACCAGACTACGCGGAGCAACAACCCAGAAGACAGCGATCTTCAGACTAAAAATATTTCTGATTCTCCGTTCTTTGCATTAATATTAAAACTGCATACGAAAAAATGAATATGACTGTTTCAAATATCTATTTTAAGGACATGGACATTGTGTGGAACACCAGAATATCTAGCGCCAGAAATTATCCAGTCAAAAGGTCACAACAAAGCTGTTGACTGGTGGGCCTTGGGTGAGTATTGTAATCTTAACTGCGATTCACTGTTATTTTGTTACTTAAACATCGTATTCAATGAACAGTGTGAACGTCGTCAGGCGGCTGAAGGCAAGTTACGATCCCCTAAACCATTTTGTAATAGTAAATTAACAGGTTCCTCTCATGAAAATTTTTTTTGTCAGTTTTTAGAAGAAAAAAGAAGTTATTCATTAAAAATTGTCACTTTCATGAAAGGAAATATGTCAGCACTATAATTGCTACAACTCACTTTCATAAAAATAAGAAAATTTCTACTACAGCTATTACAGCTACAAGTCCCGCGCGGTCTGAGGCATCATGCTTCGGACCGGCGATACGGAATGCGCGCTGGTTCGAGTCTCGGGGGAGAAGAAATTTTCTCATGAGCTTTCGACCGGTGAAAACCCAGCATCGTGAGGAAACTGGGGAGCTATAATGGGTATCGTAATCCAGTCATGGAAACTAGCAATGGCTGGGGGTTCGTCGTGCTGACCACACAGCACTCTGTATTTGGTTGGATGATCGTTCACCTCTGCTTAGGCATGTGAACGTGATGCCAGCAGCCAGCTAGTCGGCTTTGGCTCTCAGAGGGCTGATACGCCATGGATTAAATAAAATTACAGCTACTACTATTATAAATTATATACTGATATACACAATGGAATAACTTTATGCTTTTAGGTGTTCTAATATACGAAATGTTGGCTGGATACCCACCATTTTTCGATGACAATCCGTTTGGAATCTATGAAAAGATTTTGGCGGGAAAGATCGAATGGCCACGACATCTGGATCCAGTAGCCAAAGATCTCATAAAAAAGTTACTAGTCCAGGACAGAACAAAAAGGCTGGGAAATATGAAGGTAAGTTCTGTACGAAGTTGGACAGCAATTATTTTTACAAAATATTTATTGTTCCCCATGCACTTCTCTGCGTTAAGTACGTGGTTATTCTTCGTTATTATTAAATTCAATTTTATGAATTTTTCAAAATTATAGAGAAATTTATACAATGAACAAATTTATGATTTGTGATCATCATCTAATATTGTACTGAGATTAACTCATGGAGGATGAAGTAGGCAGAACAAGTAGCATGCATAGTGGGGATGAGGCATAGAACATTGTGTTCATAAAATTTTGAAAGCATTGACACTTATTCAAAATTGAGAGGTAATATTAAAATAGATCCTAAGTAAAACGAGTATTCGCTGGCCTTGTAATCCTGGGGTCCCGGGTTCGATTCCCGGCGGTGCCCGAATTTATAACTTGTGTTGGGCAAGGCCGTGGCCTAGGCAACACGGAGTTTTCCTCCGAGGCTTCCCCGGTTTCTCCATACTCCATACACACAGAAGAAGGCAATGGCAATGCCTAAAAAACATTTATGAACAGGACCCAGTTCGAGAAAAGGATGGAAGGATCCTGTTCGTAATATGTCGCCAACCTCCTGCAAAGGAGACGGCGTAATAAAGAAGAAGAAATCGAGTATGAGGGCATATACTAGATTCATGTAGCTCAGGACAGAGTCCACTGGTGGGCTCTCGTGAACACGGCAATAATAACGACAACAACAGCAACGATCATGGTCGTTATGTTATTTCAGAATGGACCAGAGGACGTTAAAAGGCACAGGTGGTTCAAAGGAATGGAGTGGCAAGATGTCTACGGCAGAAAACTGAAGGTAATTTTAGAAATATTTGCTATGTTCCTGCGCATAAGCATCCTCTCTGCCACGCCAATCATTGACAAAACTAATTTCTGTGATTTCAGCCTCCAATACTTCCTCGAGTAACTTTTGACGGAGATACGAGAAATTTTGACGACTACCCTGAAGCCGACTGGAAGTCGGCACCAAGCGTTGGAGAGATGGAACAGAAGTTGTTTGAAGACTTCTGAATTCCGGTGTTCTTCGCGTTGACAAAACGAGTACGGTCTGTGCGAATGTGGTCACACAGAAATCTCGGTGAGAAATGCCACGGGGCTCTTACCTTCCTGCCTGGCGAAAATTTTATCTGATGAGATAACCGGTTGTACATAAGATAGTTATGGAATGCTTTCTGATTCCATTTTAGTAGTTTCGTCTTGATTAGAGACTAGGCAATGCCAGTACCGATCTCACAAGTCGACTATATTTATACAAAGTAGCTTGCTGAGTTCGTGAGTAGGAAACATGCACACAGCAGCGCTGAGACTGCGGAGAAGCATTTGATTATTCTTCACGGTGAAGTAAGACGTAAACCAACATCAAAACAAATGTTTTTATTTTCATGTTATTTAAATGACTGCGTCAAATTCGCAACTTAAAACAAAATCAGACGTAGACTTGGAAGTGTAAAGGCGGAATAATAAATAATAATGTAATATACGTGATTTATATGAAGCAATAATAATTAATTGTCGCTTTGCTCTTCTGCATGAACAAGTCTCACTACCATTCTTATCTATCATAAAATATAAAACTGAAAGGAAATGCTTTGATACTTTGAATAAAATTCGTTTTCAATTGAACTAACACGAAAATACAGAGATAGAAACTTCACAGAAAGAATTAAATTACTCAAAAATTAGGTTTGTACCATACATGTTATTGTTGAATGCTTTGAAGCAGCTCAGAAGCATAATTTAGTTGTAAGATTTGAGGTTTTCACAGCTGTGAGTATGAAGATTTCTGTCTTCTGAGTTGTTGCGTTGTGTAGTCTGGTTGATGTTTACCAACGTCCTGATGACGGATTCAGTATGACCTCTGAAACGGTAAACATCGACCAGACTACACAGCGCAACAACCCAGAAGACGGAAATCTTCATAATTTAGTTCCTGTTCAGTCACCAAATCCTTGCGGTTCGGCTTCACACATTATTCTTTTAACGTCTAAGAACGTGATAGAGGCGTAAAGCCGCAACAGTGAAAATACTTCACAGAATTCTAGGTGAAATTTTATGTAGCGTATTACTTAGAAGTTATGAGATCTGAGGTTTTCTGGAAGTGAAAATTCGGATTAGTATTCTGAGTTATGACACCACAGTCTGTGAGGAACATGCTGCCCCCCTCTTTATGGTAAACAGAGGTGCAGACAATAATTTAAAACTGCGCAGGATCTTAACACAAAAGACCACAATGCAAAATCAGCGGTTGAGGATCTTTTGCTCCTGTAATATAATTCGGAAACACTTCTATAAAAAAATCAACTGATCCTGCAGTTCATTGGCACAATCGGGTGCAAGAAATGAAAATTTTGTCTCATTTAAAGTACAAATATTGCACATGGCAGTGAGAGATCAAGGAGAGAGAGAGAGATATTTTGGAACATCACAATTGGAAAGAAGTTTAGTGAAATTAAATTCTGTTTTTATCGTCCATATGCATTTTTATGGAAGAAAGTTAACCATTTTAAATTCAACCAACTGCTTCTATGTTCAGTGTTAGGCAGTAGACTAATGAACTTCGAAAATGGAGGTTCTTGGTTCTTCTGCGATATCATAATCCTTTCTTTTAATTTATGAAATCGCAATTTGTTGATCCGTGATTCATCACCATACTGCTTTTAATACAGAAACTTTAATTTGCTAAAATATATTTAAAGATAGTCAAGTCAACAAATTAAAGTTTCTGTTCTTCTTCTTCTATGGCTCTCCGGTCCGTATTCGGTCCATGGCCTCCTCAATTCTCCTCTTCCATTCAGTCCTCTGTTAGGTCTGTCTGTCCGAGGCTTTGATTGAGGTTTCGAAACATCTTCCTTTTTACGGTGCAGGGTTGTTAGCCTTGCGACTAACCCCCAACCTGGAGGACCAGGGTACCTGTCTTAGTCTGACCTCTGCCCCTAGGGAAGCCCTACCAATAGCTATGCTACCGCCACTGAGGTCCTCAAGCCCCACGACCACGACAAGGTGCAGGTACCATCGACTCTCTTTAAGTACTTTTTAGCGGGTGTTTTTAATTTGTCGTTGGTTCTATAAAAGTGCAATGGTGGCTTTTTATCTTGGAAACATGGAAAAGTAAAGAAGTTTTTTGCAAGCAGAATTATTAGTTGGGGTCATGAAAGTCGTACTTTAGTCTGAAAACTAATTATACTTAAACATACACAGGAAATTCCTTGTACCGAGTGAACACTGACCGGCCAAACTACGTGAATGAATGTAACTTATTGTAAGATAGGAATTAGTAACGCTACCTGCACACTACTCACTGGTTTTTTAAACTGTTCTTAGATGTAAATTACAGGCCTGCTTGCATTATTCAAGCTACTGTTTAAAAAATGTGTTTTGGTTAGTCATTTTATATGATTTTTCTTTGAGGTATTCTCACATATGGAAAATCACTGATTCAGGTCTGGGACCTGGAAGGAACAACCACAGGTCATGATAAACGTCACGGCATTTAGGGTCCAACCAGGCTGCTAGCTAACGGGTATCAAGGGCTCTCTCCCTGGGGATAAACCAGCTGGAGCATGAAGCTGACCTAATTCTAAGTTAATGTATGGACTCAACAAAATCTTCTCGGGCGATCAGCCGTGTGAAATGGTTAAACAATAAAACCGACGTTTCAGGGACCGTCGCTGTCCCCCATCATCAGGGCTCTGATGTGACTGCGTTATGTAGTTGTCTCCTATATATATATACCCTAATGTATGGAACTATACCTCCACTCCCCATACATCTTCATGGTGATTCTTTTAGAACAAAAAGTTCCATTTCTAATAGCTTGTTAAAAATTGCAATTTATTTTCTCTGGGCCCATTCATGAAGAGTTTAGATTTTTAATTTTATATTAGCAGAATTTGTAAACAGCAGACAGTGAATATGTCCAAACAGAATCTTGTAATGTCAATATGCCATTGTTAAATAATTTAAAGTGACAGTCTCAGATCTGTTTTTACTAGTGGATGACCTTGAATTGTGCATGTAGTTACTTTCTGGTCCCAGATTACTGTTTATCAGAATACATGCAAGGACAGGAACACCTGGAGCTTGTGCTGATATTTCAGTATAAACAAAAACACAGAATATTCAATGACTGGACTTCAGATATTAATCTAAAAGTCCTTCCTTGTTCAGAAATTAGTATAGAACTGCGTACAATAGAAATTTGTCTTCTTCTGTGGCCGTTTTGAAACCTCACCATTCAGTATTTTTAAGAGGATACTAAAATAAGGCCAAGAGAACAAGTTTCTATGTAATTTGCTTCTTGTAAGAAAGAAGTTTCTTTCATAGGTTTGCATTTTAGGTAGATGTAGTCTGTGATATAATCTTACAAAAGTAAGAGTTGTAGAAATTTAAGAAAGTATTAAGTTATTGTCCTATACAGGATATGGTCCTTTAAGATGATATAATGATTTATGCCATTATCATCTTCAAAATAGTTTTTAAGCTGCCTCATACAAGCCTGTATTTGCAATGATAGCCGAACAGTCGAGTTGATCGATAAAAAGATTATTAATGCATATAATTAATATATTCGTAACTGAACCTTACTTTGTGCTTTTAACTTCAAGTAAAGATAAATTGTTGCAAGTCCAGTCCAAGTGTTAGTACGCTAGAGGTTCAGCTACCACAATAATAAAGTTTAATACATGTGTGAAGCAATGTGAACATTTTGGGAAAATATAAAACAGTCATGAAGAAATAGTCTTAAAATACATTCTATATTTAATTTTAAGATATATAACAAAAATACAGATCTCTTTTTCTCTACAATTATGTGAAATAAAAATTTCATACAGGTACATCAAATACATTTTAAAAATGGTCATCTTTTTAATCTCATTCAGTAACAAGCACCCTCATTCTTCCTGACCAATCTCAATGATCAATAACACACAAATCAGTACAGGCACAGGGAGCAACAAAATCTCTAGCTCCCTTTGTAACACCATCGTGCATATACAGCGGAACCCCCATTTAATGTTCCTGGATTCAAGGATTCCCCATCGCTTATTGTTCCATTTCAGTTGCCTCAAACCAAATCATGCACAAATTTCCGCCATTCAAGATTTTCCAGAGTCTTAGCGCTCACATTCACGCTCGCCAAAGAAACCTTAAATGGACATTTCACTGTATATGGTTGCTTCTTCTTTGGAACATGCAACACCAGTGATGGTAACACATCTTGTAATTCCATGGAAAAGAAGATTATAACAATGAAGACTGTCATGAAAATCTGACAGTTTTTGTCAACAAATAAATCAGCAACTGGAAGGCACAAAGTCCATAATGAAACAGTGGAGCTACACTTAACCAAGTTCTGCAGCATCTCTCAAGTGAGTAAAGTTCGCATTACTTAGCCTGCAGTCCTTTGTCTTTAATTTCAACATCAAGTGACATGAATGTGGAAATTATTATTTATGTATTTAAACATATTATCAATTATATACACATTTAAACTTGCTTCTCTGTAATACTTAATTGAAATTGCAGTTGTGGTCCATCAAGACATTAAAATATGGGGGCAGGTACGTAGATAACTATTCTGTGTAGGTGTGCAGTCAGTCATTTGAATGTCTCTGATTGGGGTCTGCAGTGGCCGCGCGGTCTGAGGCGTGGGCCTTGCGCCGCTTGGTCACTGGGACCGTGAGTCCGAATCCCACTTAAGCCATGGATGTCTGTTCGCGTTTTTCTGTGTCGTGCCTTCCTGTGCACAGGTAGAGGCCTTGCGACGGGCCAATCCCTCATCCAAGGAGTCCTACCAAAATGTCTATAGATCATGCCAACGAAAAGTTTGGACCCGCAGTGCTCAGGCACCTGAAGAACGGGTCGTTCTCAGTATATACTCTGATGTGCTACTGCAATTTTTCTTTCTTGCGAGGTCATGGAATAATAAAAGTTATTCAGAGCATATTTAAGTTTCCTTTTGTACTGCCCCAGTATTTTTCTTGCATACTTTTTATGGATTTTTAATCAGTGAAAAGAAACACCCATATATTTGGTCTGATAAGCACCTTTCTTTACTAAAAAAACATGTTTGTTCACCGATGCAGTGCAAAGGTATCAAGTGGAATGTTGTTTATTTTTTGGGGTTTTGTAATGTCAAGACTTCCATTACTCTCTTATTCATTGGTAATGAATACTGAACTTTGTTTGTATGAGTAATAGACTCAATATTGTAAAGAAAACAAGTCTAAATTTTCCTTTCTGTAATGGGATTACTGCTACTTGTGTATGTTTTGTGATTACATACATTTCAAGGTCTGGAATAAAGAATCACCACTAATATTGAATATTTACATAGACTCAATGTTATTTATTTTACAGGGTCTAGTTTTTTGAAGTGTTAATGGTAGGTGCGCTCATTAACACCTCAAGCTGGTTCTGTGTACCTGCCCACTGCCGCCTCTACAGCAGTTTATTCACGAGGGTACGCTGTCGGCAGCATCGCGAAAATGTTCACATAGCTCTCTCTGTTGACAGACACTGACACTATATCAACTGCAGCATGTTCTACTGGCCTTAATGCCTCCTGCTGTCATATCCAAGCACGAAGTTAGTTAACATGGATTATGTGTAAGAATAAATACAAATAAAAAGAAGACAAGAAAAATGACAAAATATCTCCAGCTGCATCGTCATCACTTGTGAACTGGAGGTGGGTACTCAGTTATAGCAAACCAAATTACCACATACTGAAAAAGCAGCCTACAAAAACCTGTGAGTAACATTCACGACACTTAATTATCTGATGAGGTAGATTTCACTGTCCAGAGACTAACATACGAGGACACTAATTCAGAGCTGAACATTGAAGCCCAGATCTTGTACGAGGAACCACAACCACTGACAGGTGAAGATATATCACATGTTACACCTGACATATAAATACTAATTAATGGGTATCCTGCAGAATCCCACCATAAAGATTTACTTTAATATGACTGCCTTTGTTGAAACTGTCATAAATCAAATGATGCCACAAGACAGATTTAAATTCATTTCTATATTTCTACATTTTTTTTTGAAAATGGCACCAAGGACACTTACACTTTAACTCCAAAGCTTTTCAAAATTTACAGTCGACTGAAATGTTGCCAGTTTACCTGCCATGAGAAAATGAGTCTGTTGACGAGTCTCTTACCTTGTGGAAATGCACTCCCATTTCAGACAGTACATAAAACTGGGCTGCCAAGTTTAGGGCGAAATCATTTGAACTTGTGAGTCGACATGCGGTTACCTGTGGGACGTATACTAGGGCCAAAAGTGACAATGACAAATACTGATGTACCTGATAGCCTAAACATTTGCTGTGAAACTTGTGGATGGATAATTATTTTAATTCGTAATCTTTAGCAAGTGCAGCAGGAACCCTCCGCGTAATGCAGAAAAATGCCCCAGATTTCATAAAAAAAAAAAAAAAATTGAAAGAAGGGTTAAACAGATGCTACAGACCTCATGGCATTTGGGTCATGTAAAGGAAAGACATGAAAATTGTCTCATTCATTTCCACATTCCTTGACATTTCAATGACAACTAAAACTGTTCAAACCCATCAAGGACTTGTGCAATTACAACTTGTCAGCGTTACATGTAAATACCAAAGATCGGAAGCCGTGGCTAATAACAGAAAGGAAAAGAGGAATGAAGTGGCATATGAAACTTTTTGAACATTTTTTACATGTTCCAGTCCATAATGTATATGCTTTCTACATTAAAACAAAAATCTTCAAATTCTCATTTAGACTTCACTTGGTGAAAGCTCCACTTCTCATAAAAAAAATCACAGATTTTAGGAAAATAGCGCACGTACGTTCATTAATTTTTCTATATAAATCCATGAAATTCTGCTCGATAGTTTACAAAATATGGCAAAATATTGAACAGTACGCTACACGATAATTTCAGTACTGCTCTATAGTGTAGTGGTGGCTGAGGGATTAAACTAATGTTTAATTTATTATATAATGCGACCAAGGAAGATCATCGTGGAAGCATATGGAACTTGCATAGTAGAGACTCCTTCGTTCTCTTGAATGGCATATCACGAAAACTTAAAATTAATTGCAGGGCAGTGAGGAAATGCATGTAACAGACAAAAGGCAGATAACTTAAGAACAAGTTTTACCAGGGAAAAACCTAAAATTGTCTGTTATAAAAAGGCTGAAGAAGAATTAGGTCTAAAAATTGTATTGAAATAAGTAATTATTTTCTTTATATATTTGCTACTGGTAAAGTGTCTCATATTTGTGTAAATGGGGTGCATTAATATCATAACAACAATTAAAATGATCTACAAAAATAGTTTCCTATGAGCACTATTATAGATTCATCATTAGATAATACTATAGCAACAGATCTCACTAATGCAGTAATACAGTATTGCCTGAAGTGAAACATGCATCATTCTTGGCGAAGGAGAAACCATTTTGAACTCACTTTCAGATTATAAACAGCAGTTAAAAAATAACATCTCTTAATCACTTGGCAAAAAGCAAGTGAATAAACTTAATATTTTGTTGGCAGTACGCGAAAAATACATTAAAATTGCTATAAAACATTTTTTTTGCTTTTGAAGCAGCAATGTTTCCATTTTGTCTGGGCATTAAAATACCACCAAATGACAACGTATTTTTGAGCATGTACATTTTTATAACACTGTACAAAATGCTATATAAAATTCAATTCTAATAAAAATGGAATGTTAACACATTTCTCAACACCTAGTTAATTCTATCTCACGAACTTAGTGCTGTTCAGCAACTCCCAAGAAAATCTTAAACTGAAAGGCACTGAAAATGATGTCATATGGTTACTTTCTACAGTGGAATATTGCCATGTTTCTTACGTGGATTGGTTAGGTTCTTAGTGGATAGCAAATCTAAATCTTGGCAGATCCTCCAGCGAGTGGTCCTTGGTTCTATGATGTCATCCACAAAACCTGAAAGGTTGTATATTTTAGGTACGTATTTTTACTATTAAACGAAGTACACGAATACATACAAAATGTATTGTAATAATCTGTGGTTAACAGATAACAATCTCATCTGAAGCCGCAGCCACTTTTCATTACACGTATATTTTGGTACACTACTTTACTGGTCAAACTACGTGTGCCCAATTTTTATGTTAAAATGTATACTGGATTTACAAGAAAATATCACACGTTTGATTGACATGTGGCAATTATGCTCTGTCCTATTTTGACACTTTGTGAAACACACATTAGAACATCTACTTTATGACTCTTGCTATAACAAAGACATTCAGGTTGTACAATTTAAAATGCAACTCAATCAGATTACGTTCTACGGCACAGAAATTAAATCAGAAGCAGGTCCGCCCCTATGTAACAGAGTGTCCCAGTCTCCCCTGTGACAGTAAAGTCAAGGTGACCCAGGTTGCTAGACTTGCATATACCAGAGTAGAATATTTATACTTAAACTTTACTTCACATTAAAATCATTCTCTGCCAATCACGAAGCATTTAGCAATGTGAAGCATGCACCAAAGATGACAACACACCAACTAGTAGCAAAATTTTGAAACAGGAATTGTTCAACTGCAAGAAGTTCTCATCGAGCAAAACAGCTGAAATTACGGCCATACCAATCTACGCTGGTGAGATACGGCTACAGAATTCAGTAGTGCTGCCGGATCCATCACTTTATGCATGAAGGGGTTCGTGTGCAGTAATTTGTGTTACATTTTAACACCGTACTAATACGGTAGCAACGACGAAAGTTTCCTCTGAAGCCTGGTTTGTTGACTCTGGTCATTTAAATAAAATGTTTAAAAAACCAGGTATGCCATCTTGAGTACTAGTAGGGTTAAAGAAATTTCTGTCTCCATAATTTATGACATTCACATCAGCAACAACCTCCACACACACAAAAAACTAGTTTTAATTTGAAGATTTCTGTCTTCTGGGTTGTTGCGCTGTGTAGTCTGGTCGATGTTAACCAACGTTTCAGAGGTCATATTGCCTCCGTCATCAGGGCGATTCATCTGAAACGTTGGTTAGCATCGACCAGACTACACAGCGCAACAACCCAGAAGACAGAAATCTTCATACTCACCGCTGTGAAAACCTCAAATCTTACATAGTTTTAATTTCACTGTATATGGGCATTAACTGCAAGATGGTGAAGAAGCAAAGTGTCAATTTCATAATAAAATATACACAATATGATGACATTCACAGCAGATAACCACTGCACTCTTAA